ATTACTTAACTCTCAAAATACACAAGAGTAAAGTAGTTGGAAGCTTAAAAAGCTTCCATTTCATCTCTCTAGAAACAAAATGGTTATTTCATAGAGGAAATTACTACATCTCACATTTTAAAGACTAAATTTCATAAACCAAAATTATTTCAATGATGCCTGTTAGACTTGCACATACTATAAATAATTTACTCACATCATAAATTGATCTCATTCGATATAAAGACCAATACTGTGCTGTTTTATATATACTATTACATTTAATCATATAGGAAAATTGGTGTCAAGAAATCAGTAATATTTAAAACAGAAATAAACTCAGATATTTAATTGAATGGTTTAAAGAATTTTTTTTATTATCACAGATTTCAATCATATACAAGAATAGGAAGAAAATGTAATAAACAACACACATCACAAGATTATTTTGAAGTGAATCTCAGGCAACAGGTCATTTTTCATAAATATTTAATTTTGTGAAAAGGTAATGACAAAAAAAACATAGCCACAATATTATTATCCCACCTAAATATTAAAAATAATTTCTTAATACCATGAAATATCCAGAGCTCAGTTCAGGATCCAAAGTAGTCTACACATGGCGATCGTTTGATATGTCTCTTAGGTCCCCCTCCAATTGTTAATTTTTATCCCTGATATATATTTGCTAAAGGAACCAAAGGCCAAAGTTGCTTGTGTGTGGTTTCCCACATTCAAGATTTGACTAATTGCATTGATTTGATGTATTTTTTTGTTCCCTGTATTTATTGGACATTGAAAGTTAAATGTAGGGGCATGATCCTATCCAGACTTGATTATTTTGGAAATAATACTTGTTATGTGGTATTGTGTCCTTCCATGAGAAGGTGTACAGTGCCTGGTGTTAGCAAGAATGGGGATCACTGCCCGTGTTTGAGAACTTGTTAAGAAGTGCAGAATGATGATTTTGAATTTGATTATTTTCTCTTTCTTTATTGGCTGGAGTATTTGTATGAAGAGAAATTTTCACTCATCAAATATTTGATTCCTCTAGGGTATAACTCCTTTAGCAAACATTTCTTTCTCTAGCATCATCTTTACACATTTTTCCCAGTGAGAAATTTGTGTGGTTATTAAGAAAAAAAAACTTGTGAAAGAAATTACATAAAGTAACACTTTTTCAAGTCTTCAAATTCTAACAAACTTAGAAGAAAATTCTCGTGTTTAAACGATGTTAGTTGATAACTAAGAAAGATGTTATTTTAAATAAATCTCAAGTGATTAGTGAAAGAATATGTTTAACTTTGCATTGGATTATTGGAGAAAAAGTGGGAAATGCAGGTGGCTATCTAGCCCTGAAATGCAGTTATTTTAATTTCCATATCTTGAATGACTGTAATAATGTGGGAAGCATCTGATAAATTAGATGTAGTAGTACTTCTCCTTTTAAAATCAGCATGATTTCCGGGAGCCGGCCTGGTGGTGCAGTGGTTAAACTTGCACATTCTGCTTCAGGGGTCTGAGGTTTGCCGGTTTGGATCCCAGGTGCGGACATGACACTGCTTGGCAAGCCATGCTGTGGTAGGCGTCCCACATATAAAAGTAGAGGAAGATGGGCATCGACGTTAGCTCAGGGCCAGTCTTCCTCAGCAAAAAGAGGAGGATTGGTTTCAGATGTTAGCTCAGGGCTAATCTTCCTCGAAAAAAAAAATCAGCATGATTTCCTTCTTTGTAAAAAAGAGTGAAACTCACCTGGGATTGATGAGCACTACATTGCTATACTATATCTAACGATTGCATTTTGATGTAGTAGATTTGAAAATGTCTATGTTTATCCAGCATGGTGTTTTGGTAGTAAGTTTGTTACCAAATAGCTGTGTGACCTAGAGAAAGTCACTTATCTTCCCTGGATCCCAGCCTTGTAATATTTTGGATCTCTTAGTTTTCACTGTACTTCTTGCAGGTAGTAGTGGCAACGTATTCTCTTTATTTTCGTAATTTGCACATATGTATATGAGTTACTTCTTCACATTTAAAAAATTTATATTATATAGTATCTACCAACAGCAATGGGTTTTTGTTTGTTTTGTTTGGTTACATTTCATTGCAGATAAATTAGGGGCAAAGGAAACACCTAACATATCTGAATATGAAGTCATAGATGTCAGGAACCTCTGTCTTCCTGGAACGTCTAAGAACTTTCTAAGTATATTACTTCCCTATTGAGAAACAATGATCCCTCATCTATAAATTTGCTTATGGAAGGAAGAATAAAAAATACTAGGCTAAAATAGCAAAGCATTTCAAAGAAATTCTGCATAATCTTGAAACAGAAAGATCCATAGTGCTTTAACGTTAGTTCTCTGTGAATAAATACCAGTAATGTCTTTACGATCTATTTACCAAATGTTTCATTGCTTAATAACTTTTCAGCAAACACCTCTAAAGGTAACCACAAATCCAGTATGTTCTACATTATCCAAATATTGCAAATACCAATAAAAATATCACCATTTTGTTATGACTAAATCTCAAAATAAGAAATAGGAATTAAAAAACAGGAAAATCTGACTAGGTCATATCAATTTTGAGGTAGGTAAAGTTTATCTCATCTCCCCCGAGAATGCCCTGGACTTCATTTTGAGAAACACTGTTTTAGATTCACCAATGCTTCTCAAAATTGTTACATAGTGATATCTATCAAACAGTCAATCAACTAATTAAATGAAACTAATTAACTAAATAGGTAATGTAATCAGCTAATTATATTTTCACTTTTTGATCATTTGTATTGGCATTTTTAGAGATAAATCTTATTAACATAATACCTAATATTCAGTAACTATTCAGCATTCATCTGTAAGTAGATTTGGGATTTATATTATTAATTTACATGATTTTTCTTCAAAAATTATATGCAAAAGTTTTCACATTATTAACATTATAATTATTAGCAGTTGCAAATTTAATATTATGATTAATCATCTTTGACAAAATAGTGTGAAAAACTCTAATGCTATAGTTAGAACTTGCTGCTTTTATCATAAAGGTGAAGAAATGTTGATGTCATATCTAAAACTTTTCTCTGGTCAAAGTACCTTTTCTTCCTTTCTTTTAATTTTAACTATGAACTGTTAAAATTGCATTTTTAAGATAATTTTCAGTCACTTTTGGGTGGTGTGCAATGTGCACTTTACAATTGACTTATAATTGGACTGTGCTGACAATGGAAAATCTTACAAGTATTGAACATGACATTTATGACAGTATTGCTGTCATCTTGGCTTCTTTTATTGAATATGCAGGGAATTATAATTGGGCTAACAAGGCTGGTAGCCTGGCCTCTTTCCAATTATATTAACCAGCCTGGTCTAGTGTTAGCTGTCTGAACACATACAGAAACAGACAGAAAGGTTCTGTTTTCCTTTCTATTTTGTTTTGGTATCCACCCAATAACCTAAGAATAAAATCATCTGTCTTCGTGTAATGTTTAAGATCTTCAATAATTCACCTCCATTCCACTGAGAAATGTAAAGATTTGCCATCTCTATGTATGTTTCACTAATTTTTAAGAAAAAGATTAATTATAATAAAAGATTAGTTGTTTCTGTTACACATTGCATACTAGTTATTGTCTCAAACATTTCTAAAGGTTTTTGGCAATTTTTCTTTGATTCCTGCTAAAAATTTTAAGGAATGAATTTGAAGTGAAATTTCTTTTCACGTGAATAAGTCGATGTACTGATACATTGAAATATTTTCTTTGAAACTGAGACAAATATTTTTGCGTAATCTGAAAATAAATCTTTCAGCTTTGTGTAGCATTAAAAACAATACAAAAAATGAAAATAATTCCTAATGGTTAGAATTCTGATATCCACTAAAATTGTACCGAGGGATTAAAAACAAGTTTTAATTGAAAAACAAACAGCCAGAAAAGTTAAATGAAGTAGTTTGTGGTTTGAAAGATCCAAGGAGCGTCAATGTGTCAGTTATCTAGAACACTAGATTCCATGCTTTTCTTTTCTCTTTCTTTTTCTAGTTTCCTCTTATTTTAGAGCATTCAATACACTTCCATATGTCCTTTCCAAATGTTCCCAACCCTTCCACCTGTAAGATTTAAGGTCTTCCCCTTTGTCAGTGGTTTTCTGGATAGAAATATGAAAACAACCTGGGAATCTGTCCAACAGAAACCAAACACCACCACAGTATACCAGGGCTAGAACTGAGGCTATATACTGCAGCCTTGTCAGTAGCAGCAAAAAAAAATTAGTACAAACAACCTGATTGTCTATCAACAGGAAAATAGTCCCACACTTCATATACACCATAGAAAAATGTACAGCTATTACAATTAGTGTGTTAGAATTCCATGTACTAACCTGGAAAATGTGGAAAAAGCAGACTACAAAGGAATGTGTATAGTATGATCCTGTTTTTGGAAAGAAAATACACAAAATACATATGTTATTGGTTTTTATAAGAATTGCAAAATTTTTCTAACATTAGCAAACCGTTAATATTGGTTACTCCTTCAGTAGCAGGCATTGGAGAAGGATCAGGTGTTTCCTTACGTCTGTCATTTCTGATCTTTTGCAGGTATCAATTTTGTTGTAAAAATAAACAACAAAGTAGAAGTATTTCATTCACTAAATAGGAGTTAATTTCTTGGTAAAAATAAGTTTTCAAATTTAGATTTGAATATTGAATATTTTCGGGATTCTAATGGGCTATACACTGTGTTATGAATTGGTACATCACAGTTAGTAACAATGTCATCAAACAGCTGGTAGCTTAAGTTTGGATCTTTGCTTTTTTTAAGTTGGTTTACATTTTATCTTCCAAACAATATGAACTTTTTCCCTCTCCAGCCCTACCTCCATTTTAAAGCTGTGGAGGGTCTGAATGGGTTTAAGCAAGGACTTAATCAAGGTTTCCTGTAATAATTCTGCTTTTAACTTAATATATTTTTATCTGAAAAAATACTTATTATTTTAAAAATAAGTACTTTTTTAAAATCAAATGGTGGAAGATAAATGTACATAGTAAGATAGTATCCATGATTGTGGATAAAAATGAAATTCTCTGTAAGTAATCTGGCATGTACCTAGGCTTGCTAGAAGTTTTCCTTTAGCTCTAAATAACTTGAAAGAATGAAGTTTAAATTTAAAGTTTCCATGCATGATTCATAAGTACTTGATCTAAAATCTGAATTAAGCTTCACTGAAGGTCAGTGTGTTGAACTAGAGGCTACAGATTTCTCAATTAGGAGATAGGCCACTTCATCTTTTACATCATTTACAGAGTGAAAAAGCACTCCTTCCTCTGTCAATCTTCATTTTTAAATAGTATCTAAATCAAAATAGAACATATCACTTCAAAATGTTTAGAGGTATCTAATTATGCATTTTGTCTGGATGTTTTCCTTTGCGTAGAGAACTGCCCTGTAGGACTGTTCCGATTTCCTCATTAAGTTTACTTCCACCCCAAATAGTGTTTATGGCTAGATATAAACTGCTTAGTAGGAACTGAATGCCATTTAAAGTATGGAGTTTTCTAGTTTGATGGCTATGTGGTCAATCAAGTACCAAATAGCTGGAGTTTAATGAAGCATGTGACTTTGATTTATCTTTGCAGACCTGATATTTGCAATTTCGTTGGTGACTCAGTGCCTTAAATCCTAATAGTGTAAGGTAGTATCATACAGCACAGATTCTGGAGTTAGAAACACCTAGTATCAAATCTCAAATTTGCTTCTTTCCAGTTGTGCCCTAGTCAGCAGGTAATCTGATTTTTTACATCCCAGTTTCCACTTTTGTGATGTAATGATAAGAGAACTTACTTCTTGAGGTTGTCATAAGTGGAAAATGTATGGAAGTACTCATCCTTGGTCTCCGGCATTTAGTAAACACTCAATAAATGCAAGTGACATACCTTGTGATTTATCCAAATGTTACGGATTAGTGTTTAATTGTTAAGTAAAATGAAATATATTTAAAGCATATATGAGTATTGCTTTATTGAATTATTAATTAAAGTTTATAAGTTAAGGAGGACATGGAGAAAGAAAGTCCATAAAAAGAATTTTGTGCCTTATGGTTTTTGGAATTTGTACTGTGTGGCTCGTATCTATTTTACTCTTTCTTATTCAAGGACTTTTGTCATGTGTTATCAAATGTAACCAATGGTCATTTTCTTTGTTATAGGTCCTATTCATATAAAGTGTGTTGATCATATAATCATAAATGTATCTTTTTAGACTTTAACTAATAGTCATAACGTATCTCTCTTTCTTACTAATTAGAGACTCTGACTAATATCTAACATGCTTGTTCTCTTCTTCTTGTGCAATCTTTCCTGGGTACCAGCGGCTGCTTCAAAGAATAAAGCTAAAGGTGAGCTCCTGTCCATTCTGCATGATTCACCGTGATTCACTTTTCTGCTCAGTGTTCTGAATTCTCTTAAATGATAGAGCCAATTCTGTTGGTAATAATACTAGATTGGTGTATAGATATTAGTCGTAAATTTCTATGAATACAAATTTCCATAAATATATAACTTCAGTTATTCAGTTTCTGATATATCTGTGTTTGCATGATTGTTTGTTAGTTTGTTTGTTTCCTATTTTATTTTCCACTTTATTCCAAATGGAACAAAGTGCTTTTGTACGCTAACATTTTACCTGTTGACCTTAGTTTCCTTGATAAAATTGTGAGTTGGAAAAAACATAGCATAACATAAAGCTGATAGAAAGTCTCAAAGTTGAATATACCTTCATAGAATTATTTGAAAAGAAAATTTTATCCTTTAAAAATTGAATATTATAAGCTATAGGTTTCTATTTATGACTTTTCTTCCATTTCCTAGTCATATTAAGTTTGCATTTGCTAGAATTCTGAAAATATATTTTCATGAGAGAGGATGCATGTGTCTAATTCCAGATTGTCTCCCTGAAAGAAGACTTTTGGTTTGATGTATCAAAGTCTTTAGAGGTTTTGAAAGAATTCAAATATATGTATGATATTTTATCATAGGTTTATAGTTTATGTGTTTCAATTTCATACTTTCTAGAACAATCTATGTATTTAAAAAATTTTTTCTCCTTATATAGAAATATATATTTTTTCTTTTTCATTTATTCTTGTCCAGCAAAACTGCAATTAAAGGTAATAGATCATATATCTATTATCTTCATTTTCGTATCTACAGAGTATGAGTAATAATAAAACCTTCAGTAGGTTGTTGTGAGGGTTGACTTAGGTAAAATATGTAAAACAACTAGTAGATTTCCTGCTGCTACTAGCATTTTGAACAACACTAGTTTCCTTTTGCTTCTCACAAACCTGCCTCCTTATAGAGAATATTCTGGCTCCTCATCATTTAGTATTGCCCTGCCTAATATTTTCCTGTGTGCTCAGGAGGAATGACTGGGTGGTTTTATCTCTGTCTTCGCTTCCCATATTCATATCCGCCACAAGGCCACCCTTCTCTCTTATCCTCTCCCTCCAGCCCTGTCCCCCCCTCAAGTTCTAGTTTTTTAGCTGCTTTTAAAACTATGCTGTAGATTCAGCTTTAAAGAATTAACTGCTCTCTACAAGGCTAAGCATTTAGTGTGCAACTACTATTTTCCTAGCAAAATATCTGTTTTATGGAATACTAAAGATATAAAAGACAAGATGGCAAATTTATTGTTCCCCTTTGTTGTATCCTCCATACCAAGCCTAGTATCTTGTTTCAATAAATGTGCAGGAAGAATTAGCCAATCCTTGCCACAGTAATTTTCTGTCTGGTTGTGAACAAAAGAAATACATTTACAGAGCCATTAAGAAATTACTTGATAATGAACACATGTTTATGAATATGTACACATAATGTATTTATATAATAAAAGATTAAGATGTACAGTTTTAGGAATGAAGAATTAAGGACACTGTATAATAATGTGTTAATTGTGGGATATAGAACTTGGGTGTTGTAGGGGTGGAAAAATTTTCCCTTCTTTTCTTCTAGGTTCCTTGGCTGGTCTAATAGTTAAATTGATATGACAGATTAACAGAAGAATAACAAATTTAATTACATATATACAGGAGCCCTATAAAGATATGAAAACTAAAAAGGCAGCCACGTAATTGAGGCTTATATACCATCCTCAGCTAAGGAAAGGGCCCAGGGTCTGGGGAAACACAGAGGTGGGAAGTCTTTCACAGGAAGGTGGAGGGTATGTTTGGAAACAAAGGTTGCCCTGTTATGCAGATAGGTTTCCTAGGTAAGAAGGTATCTCTGGTGCTAGCTCTCTTCTTTGTACAGGACCCATTTCCTATGGAAATTTAAACAGTTTAGGGGGAGTTGAAGATCTCCTGCTGAATCCGCTAGGGTTTGATTGCCTTTAGCTCAAAATAATCCACACACCAAAGTGGCAGATTTTGGGGTGATAAAATCTGCTCTGCTTCCGTGTAAAGAGCATTAGAGAGAGAGATTTTAAAGTTGGAGTCCTTGTTCTCAGAAAATGCTTTATGGGGGAGGTGGGGCTTGAACTGCTACTTAAAGGACGGGTGGAATGCATATAGAAAAAAGTGGTACATAGGAAAAAAGAATCTGAAATCATAAGTAAAGGTGTGAAGCAGGAATGAGTACAACTGATTTCAGTATAATGAGGACACCTTTTGAGTGAAGACCTGTGATTTATGAGAGTGGAGGAAAATAAATTTGATGATGTAACAGGCAATGGAGTGATCATAAGTCTTTACTACATTTGATTATAGAAAACTGTTAATAATTACTTTGATGTTCATTTGATAATTCTTAAAAACAATGGACAATAATTTAAATTATACAGATTACAAAGTATTATGTATAGGAAACTGTAAGCGAGGAAGACAATTCCTCTACCCTCTAGGTCCTTCTGGCTGGTCTAAAATTAAATTGATGTGAGACAGGGTACCAGGAGAAAATTACACAAAGTTTAATAATGTGTATACACTGGAGAAACCCAGGAAAGGTGAGTAACTCAGTCAGAATGACCAAAACTGCTACCTTAAATACCATCTTCAGCTAAACACAAAGGAAGATATTGGGGATAGTGGTTTTGGGCTTCAAAGGGGAGGCAGGAAATTTACATGGAGATGGAAAAACAAATCTTTGATAGACAGAAATTTGATGAGAATGGGCTAAACAAGGACCCTCACAGTCTAGATACTCAGAGTTATCCATGCTGATGGCCTGTCCTGGGGACAGGCCTTCTATCTTAAATTCTTTTAGGCAGTTAGGGGGAAGGTCAAAGTTTCTTTTAGAGTCTTTTGTTCTCAAAAATAATCAAGGTAAAGAGAAACATTTTGGAGTGGCCAGTTCTGATCCCCCACAAAACCAATTCACCATTGGAGGATTACAGCTATGAACTATTTCACTGGCATCTGTTAAGTCATGTCAGGACTCAAGCTGGCTAGGATTTTGCGATGTAAACATATTTCTGTGCCCAATTTAGTGCTTCCCACATCACCAGCCCTACTGTTCCACACCTATCCATTTTATTTGTATCTCCTTTCTCCACTTGCGTACAAGCCTGTAGGGGTCTTTAGGACATAGTTTACTATTTTTACATCTACAAGGTGTTATATACCTATATTTTTGCATCTGTAAGGTATTATGGAGACAAGAAATGACTTTAAAATGAACTATGCCTCAAGTAGAAATTGATATTTTATTTCTAACGATTGTTTGAGACAGATGTATATTATGTAGAGATAATAGAACTACTCAGTGCTTTTATTGTCCAATTTCTATGGCAAGTTTTGGAGATGATCACATGTCATTTATTTATCCTTATGGAATCATCCAAATGTGGGGAGCTTCTGGTATATTGGAGAGAGGAATGTGTCTTTATCTTTTTTAAGGAGAAAGGATTGCATTGCAGAAATCACAGACTGGGAAATTTGACACTATCTTCCCAATAAAATTTTTAAGTGGATTCTTAAAACAACAATTTGTGGGGTGTTTAGGTTAAAAGAGAGTTCACCACGAGTTAGCAATGATTTGTAATGGCATAGAAAATTACTCTAATTTTCTCTCCCTCCTTTTTTATATGTTGGTTATTATACCAGTTTCTGAGGGCAAGAGTATAAACATAATACATCAGAATTTCATCAAATCATGTAGCAACTAATTATTTCCTTATCCCTGCAGAAATTGCCATTCTGAAGATCACCAACTATTCTTTAATGGTCATATCCAATGGTGATTTCCCAATCCTCAAATTACTCATTTTTTTCTACTGAATATATATCATTTCTTTTGATTTTCCATTTCCCTTGGTTTCAGTGTCTCTATACAGACTTGATTTTCTTTTTAACTACTTTTTACCTCTTTCTCTCTCCCTTTATATCTTGTTCTGGCTTATAGGTTTCATTCAGGCTATATCTTTGATCCCTGAAATGTGGCTTTTTGCAGTGTTGGTTCAGCTCTCTACCTCCCCTTTGAGAGATTAACGTCACTTCCTGTAAAGCAATCATTTTCCAGATGATGGTGTACCCACAACCATTATCCCTCATGCTGTTAAGAGAAAGACAAATGTTCCAGTAAATTCCTCCGGTGAAAACTTAGAACTGGGAAGTAGGAAAAGAAGAGAGAGGGAAAACTGAAAGGGGCAAGAGGAAGAAGGAGAGATGGAGAATTAATTTTATTACAATTTGTGACCATGAATATTGTATGAAGACTGAATAAGAAAATGAATTAAGGGGCTGGCCTGGTGGTGCAGTGGGTAATTGTGCATGTTCTGCTTTGGCAGCCTGGTGTTCGCCAGTTCAGATCCCGAGTGGGGACATGGCATCGCTTGCTAAGCCAAGCTGTGGTAGGCGTCCCACATATAAAGTAAAGGAAGATGGGCACGGATGTTAGCTCAGGGCTAATCTTCCTCAAAAAAACAATTTTTTTTTTTTAAAAGAAGAAGATGAAGTAAGTCTGAGACAGGAAAGAACAATGAAGTAGGATGTACAAAGAGTGCGAGGTCAAGAGAGTGCCTTCATGGTGCTCAAGTCCCTTGTTCTAATGGATTTCTAAGGTTCTACTTTATCCTTGCCCTTTGGGTCTATGACACAGCTCTATTTCAATTAAGCTTTCTAGATAGATTTCTCTTGCTTGCAGTCAAAAGAGAACCATTTAATATAACGGTTTTCCTTCTGTAAGTTTTCTTAGTTGATTTCAGTTATCACTTTTCTAGACTTGATCTTACTTCTATACTGTTATCTGATATCCCCATCACCCTGCTGAACATTTCCACCTGACTATTAAAAACTGAAGCATTTTGGACCCACAACTAAGATATACAACTATGTACGGGGGTGGTTTGGGGAGATAAAGCAGAAAAAAAAAAAAGAAGATTGGCAATAGTTGTTAGCTCAGG